GGGGGGGGGGGAGCGTTGTTCAACAAGGCAGACAAATAAGTTCTTGCGGTCAGACATTCCTACAAAGTGCATTTGGTTGAGTCGAGTTGAAAGAAATGATCAACTGAACGGTCTATTGTTCTTTCTCTCTCTCCAGACGCCTCCCGTTGGATTAACGGGGTTGATAAAAAAGATTATTAATTGAAAAACACAATGGGGTTGTGTTAGGCCTAATTGGTGGACCAATAATTCAGCATGGAGAGACTGTTAGCTGGAGCTATACCAGACAATCAACCCGTACACACACACACACATCGCGTGTGACGCCGGTGGGTTGCGTAACCGAGGCAAAAATCAACGGGTCCTGGGGTCACCGTAAATGGATACTTGAATAAACGCGTGCAACGGATAACAAAGTTATTTTGAATTGGGTTAGTATCCACTGCTCTTTCGTTCACAGACATAGTTTGGATGTCTGTGCGTCTGTGTCCATTTTCATCCAATCCGAATGGATGCCAGCGCCAGATTGCCGATAAGCCCGTCTGAGATGCGCGTCAGATTGGCGTTGGTAGTGATCATAACCCATCATAACCCACCCAATAGGGCACACCCAAAACACCATGTCCGTTTCGGTTTATTTTGCTACCAATGAGTTAATTTACATTTCACTTTTGACTGTAGTCGCTTAATCTGTGTGTGTGTGCCATTTTACCGATTAATCCAGTAGAGACTGAGCGGTAGACATGAAAGTATATGACAGGCGTTCAACCCGGATGTTTATTATCGACCTAATCTTCACAATAATAATTATAGTAATATTTGTGTTGCATCATCCATCACGACGAGATTGCAGCTTGACGTGATGTGATGGCTTGTGCACCCCTCTGATCCAACGAGCTACACAGAATAGCTTTGGTCAAGCCAGAAGATCTTATTATGCCTGGAAGGTCAATGGGTAGAGGTCAGACGAAGTTCAATCTCCTGGTCCTTCAGGTTAGAGGTTCGAATCGAATTTGCGTTTCAGTCAGTCAAAAATGTGGGAAGTAATTGATCCAAGTAGATGAGCCTTCACTCCCCTTCACCCGCTTCCTAGTAGTCAGGTTCCTGTTAGAACTAAAGGCTTTGAACGAGAACATTCTTCTGATTAGTGGCTGGACACCCTAGCAGTACCCATCCATCGAACCCCAATGCAAACACAAAATAAAAATAATTCCATACTGCATCGGACGTCGAGCAGGATAATCAGGACCGCGCTGCCCATTACATCGAGTGGACTGAGTAGTGATAAAAGGGCTGGTGCCTTTGTTTAACTCTTTGTCTTCAGTACCCAGCCCTCTCCATTTGCCTTTCCTTCCAACCTCTAATAAGCCCTCAGGAAAATTGGATGTCACTCGCCAAAGGTCGTTGCAAAATAACACTAGGCATTGTACCACGAAGTGAATTGCAGATTCGGAAGCCTCGTGAATCACTTAATCTGGGGGCCTTCATTGTGAAGACTTTGCTGCAGCTAGATCAAAAAGCTTGTATGGCTCGTACAAAGGAATCCTTAGAAAACGATATTTGCTGCTAATCGGAAACTCGAATCCAGTATTCTACTACTAGAAGCTCCTTGAGCGGACCAGATTTGTCTTCCAGATACGTTCTTCGTACACCTGGAGACGATTAAGCTCGTTCAGTAGGTCAGCGCGGGGTAGGTATTGCACTCAGTAACAGGGCGGAGTCCTCTCTTATCGATTGGATCAACAATCGATTATGTGCAGTGCGTCTCCAGGGTTCAATCAGCGTCCGAAAGGGAAGCAACACCAAAAGGTGTTTGTTCATCGTATCGGCATATGCACCGATCAATTGCAGATCTGATACCCAAAAGGACGCTTTCTACGATGAACTCACCGATATCGTTCGGGTGAGTCGAAGCTCCGATATAGTTGTACTTGCAGGTGACTTCAACGCGCAATTAGGAAAACTGGGCGCATCAGAAGCTTGCCTAGGCGGTAGTTGTGATCTGCCTAGCCGACTAACACATAACAGCGTTCGACTTCTTCAGTTCTGGGCAGACCATCATCTGTTCCTATCAAGCACCAGTTTCCGACACAGCTCTCGAGGGACGGAAACATGGCGCTCCAGTTCAACTAGTACGCTAACTCAAATCGACCACCGACCAATTGCATTAACGGTATTTTGCTGTACGATGATGATGTATTGTATTGTGCAACTTTGGCAAGATTACAAATGCCAAGCATCACTGAATGCATACGTGGTTTCTCCGTAGAAATAGCTCATAGCCCAAAGCCTTTAGGCTTAGTTACTTTGAGCAAGACGGGCGAATTTTGTTGGACATTTAGACGCGATGGACTGCACGGTCTCTGGAGGACTGGGAACCACAGCGTATTGATTCAGCGTGAAATCGATGGATTAAGTGATTTGGTGATCGTGCAAAGGGAACGCACGTACCACGGTACAGCCTTCAGATAACCAATCAGGAAACGGATTTACCGTCCAATCCCGTGGTCTTAAGTGGCACCAACCGGATTGGCTGAATGCAAGAAGGCAGACAAATGAACCATGTCGTTCTCGATTTGACATTGAGGAATCTGCCAATGATTGTTGGATGCTTGTGATATATGTTTGCATGATTTTCTGCATTTTCTGCATTCACTGTTCGTAGTGGTTCTACCGGGTTTTGCGTTATTCACTGACTTTTCAGTCCGAATCCGAGTTCGCTCTATTCCGTTCCGATTCATACTCCGATTAGTAACTGTATGTGTGCAAGAATTCTTGCCACATGTGTGATGATCTAAAATTTTCACAGCCAACGCGTTTACTGTCGATGAGGAAATGGGGCTAATAAGAGTTAGACAATGATCGAAACCCTAGAAATCTTTTTTACGTGAACCAAAGGGGAAGTAACTAGGGGACAATAAAGTAACACAGGGTTAACATACTGGTATGCAAAAGTGAAAATAGCTGAGCTTTTTCGATTTTGGAAACAAAATCCGGTAGGAGAAACAAGCTGTTTTTTGATCAATTCATCAACGGGACATTACAACTATGTACGGTTATTTGGATTCGTCTATCAGGTTTTGATCGCATCAGGCTAAGTATAGCCAGGATTGTTTACCTGATGTTCATCTCGATCAGTTCGTTGATGTGTCCCCCGGGGGTGCAGTGGATTTCTTCGTCCGAGGCCAGGGCAAGGCTACAGCCCGAACGAATTGCTTTTGATTGCACAGTTGGGCGGG